ACCCGCCATTTTTAAATCCCCGCTGGGGCTCGAACTAGGTAGTTCGAACTAGGCTTCCTATTCCGAACTACCGGTACACCTCGTTCCACGAGCCTAGTTCGAACTACCTAGTTCGAGCCCCGTGTAGCCGCGCTGCACGGGGTTCGGACCAGCAGGGATTTAAAAATGACGGCTCCCCGCTTATGCAAATGAAGCCCGGGAAATTCAAATCCCGGGCTTCATTTGCACTAGGGGTATGTCTACACTACCCCGCTAGTTCGAACTAGCGGGGTAGTGTAGACATACCCATATAGAATAGTGATAGAAATGTAGCCGTGTTAGTCTGGTGTAGCTGAAACAAAATACAGGACTATGTAGCACTTTAAAGACTAACAAGATTGTTTATTAGATGATGAGCTTTCGTGGGCCAGACCCACTTCCTCAGATCAAATAGTGGAAGAAAATAGTCACAGCCATATATACCAAAGAATACAATTAAAAAAAAATGAACACATATGAAAAGGACAAATCACATTTCAGAACAGAAGGGGAATGCAGGGGCGGGGGGAAAGGAAGTTGAATGCCTGTGAGTTATTGATATTAGAGGTGGGGAAGGGTAGATGTCTATGAGTTAATAGTATTAGAGGTGATAATTGGGGAAGCTATCTTTGTAATGGGTGAGATAGCTGGGGTCTTTGTTCAGCCCCCCGCGGTTTCCTACACTACATTATTATTGGCTTTTAGCAACTAATGTCAGTCATGTTTATTATTTGGTCTCTTGTATATATTTCATTTCATCATGAACTAAAGTGTGGTCAAGAAATTGACTATACAATTGTCAACACCAGATACCACTATTTATTTACAATAGTGCTAATTATGTGCTGTTGCTTTCTACACATTCACAGAAATCATAAGGATGTTGGACTGGAAGTGATTTCAGTAAGTCATCTAGTCCAGCCCCTGCCATCAAAAGCAGGACTGAGTACTAGCTAGACCAAGCTTCAGCAACCTTTTCAAACCAAAGAGCCAAACTACATCAAAATTCAGAACAAGTGGTCAACAGAGGACCAGTATAAGAATGCCCATTTTCAGGGCTCGACAAATAATACAATCTACTCGCCCGTGGCGAGTAGATTGCAACCCGGAAGAGCCGGGTTCGGGCGATCTGCACGTGCGCAGATCGCTGGACAGCGCGGCTGGCGAGCGGGACTCGCCATGGTTCAGCGAGCCCTGCCCATTTTCATGACTGAAAATATACAAAGTAATATTATTGATAATTGATATGATTAATAATAATAGCATAAATGAAACATTGTACTCACAGACTTTATTTAATGGAACTTCTGCTGCTGCTGGGGATTTGTAGATGTGGGGGTGCAGGAATCAGGGTTGGAGTGCATGAGGGGCTCAAGGAGGAGGCTGGGGTGTACGGGAGGGGCAGGGCAGGATGCTGGGGGTGGAAAGTAGAATTGATGGGGGAGGCCCTGGGGCTGGATTATCTTACCTGGCCAGGGCTCAGCTGCTGCACTCGTGCAGCAGCGGCTGGACAAGGGGCCAGGCCAAGATCTCCACAGGCAGACCATGGTCTCCCCTCAGTGCTGCAGCAGAAGGAGGCCGCTGCTAGCCCTTCCTGCAGCCAGGTGGGGGCCAGACTGCAACAGGATGCTGTAGCCAGATGGGAGCTGGGCCCTAATTGGGGCCTTGTTGGCCAGGCTGCCGCAGCTGGAGCCCAAGCTGGACTACCACAGCCAGGCTGTTGCAGCAATCACAGGGCCACTGTGGCTGGGCCGTGGGATCTGCCCCAGGAGCATAACATCTGGGGATAGACTGCGGCATCTACCACCACCACCCCTCTCACTATCCCAGCTAGGAGCATGCCCACGTCCCCCACAGCAAGCCCTCAGCCATCCCTTTAAACAAGCAAAGTGCCCCAGCCTGTCTGTTTTAAGCAGTGGTTCTCATGCTTTTTGGCCACCCGGCTTAATGCAAACCTTTCCACAGACCACCAGCTCCCGAGCCATTTTGCTAGTGCTGCAGCTAGGGAGAACGATTTAATTTAACCAGCAAGAAAGGAAATATTCAAAATCATTAAACAGATTTAGCACTTCAACGTTCTCATGTTAGTTTACCAATCTTCATTTTAAATTAAGTAAAATATTATGTCCAACACAAAAGGTTTCAACGTGATCTTTACTTATGGCAGGGGGGGGGGCCCTGATTTGGGTCAGAGGCCACTGACCCACAGAAAATTAAGTCAGGGACTACACAAGTGAGAAGCAAAAAATCTCCTCCACAAATCCCCGACCCTCACTCAGGTGGCCCAACGGAGGTGGCTCCAGCCCCATGGTGGGAGGATCAGGGAGGACTGAGGTTCAAAGCCTCAGGCCAGATTAACTCTTCTGGGGTTCCAGGGTTAGTGGATTTTGTGGACCCCCGTAGGCTCTGGGATGGGGCCAGATATGAGGGGTTCAGTGTGTGGGACAGAGCTGCCAGTGAGTGGGATCGCGATGGAGGTGCAGGATCTGGGCGGGAAGTGGGGTGCAGAATGGTAGTTGGGTG